TGCTTAGTCACAAAACACCACGATTTATCTCTCATGGACAATAAAAATAAAGTATTACCAAGCATTTCTCACGAATAAGCAAAATGTGGACTGTTCACTGTCTGTGAAGCTACAAAAAAATAACTCTGTTTTATTTGTAAGAACAACTCTCAATAACAAGGATATGAGAGACGTTATGCCTTGGAAATTTATCTTCCTGCATTTAGTGCAAACAGTCTGAAAAAACCTCACTTACCCTATACAGATCCATAATTTGTGAGGCTGTGTACTCCTGAGATTGATTCAAGGGCTTGAATTTAATTTCTGAAGGTGCTTTGGCTGTATAAGTAAATGGACCAGAGATGGTGTCCAAGTCATGGGTACCTATTGCTACTAATGATCTTTTCCTAGAAAGAAAAAGAAGACAAAATCACGTTTTTACTAATAATAATTGCTGTTTCTTAGAGATAGTATCTAATGATGCTCTATACTTCTATGCATTCATAGAACTTACTGAAAAAGTAGGATAATTTTGAGAAGCCCAGAAATTATTTCATTTTATCAAATGTTAACGACACAACAGGCAAAGTAAATCCAGTGGGAATGTTGTAAAACACTTCTGCCTTAGCTGTTACATGAGCTGTAACAGCTATTTCTGTTGAACATTACTGAAAGAGGGCAGAAACAGGCAAAGAAATTGGAAGGATACAGACAGCTGGTATAAAAGATTTCCCTTGGTGTAACTACAATGCCTCTCTGCAATAAGGATGCACAGCCTTAACATGTGATAAAATCATGTCCATAGACACTATATACTACTTTAAATTTAAGCACTAACCTGCAAATGTTTTGGTGTAGCTTTTCTTGGAGGTCAATGAAGCTCTCATAGCGACCCTTGGTAAAAGTTATATTACGGAGGACGGCAGCTACAGCGTGAGGACGGATTTGGACAGTCTGCAATTCACAGCAGCAACATGTAAATTTCAAGTGCACAGGAAATAAAGTCCTCTTTTGTAAAGTAGGAAAATTCATGGAAAGACATTTGAATCCCAAAGGGGAAAAACCCAAAGAAACACAATCCAGGTCGGTAGAGACCAGGAGGTTTGCAATGTACTGTGTAATGGCCCAGAAGGTCAATGGAATGGGAACACCTGAAACTTTGATCCGATCTGCTATTAGGTTCACCCAAATAACTTGTCCAAATAAATTCTTTTGTCCAAATAATTCACCCAAATAAATTGTTCCTCCCCGTCCACTTCACTAAAAATAAATTGCAATGAGTAGAGATATTTAAATTGTTTTAGCTCTTGTTCTGCAAATAGGATTTCCAGTCTCACTGCTCTTACAAAATAGGCACTGATACAGATCTTGCTGCTTCAGCAGCTCTCAATACATTTACAAAGGTGCAGTAAACACTTTTACCTGTTCAGTGATAATCAGCTTCTGACCTTCACCCTCAGCTGGTATTATCTTTTCATATCTAGGGATATTTATCCTAAAACAAAACCAGAAGTAAGTCTGTAACTGAAAAAAAAAAAAAAAAGCCCAAGTGCAGGAAACTTTAGAAATGTAGCAGCAATGATATGCGCAAAACTTCCTTTGTAACGTTTCTTGACATGTCATTAGCTAACTGTTCAAAACTCCTTTTCTATGGGAAGGTAAACAGATTACTGAACTAGAAAGGAAGAACTCAAGAAGATAAAGTCGTAGCAGAAAAGTGATATAATTTATTTGTTTTGGTATTTATTACAAAGGATCACAAGGAAGTTTTGCTCCAGGAGTTCTTTACAGAGGATAAGTCTCAATGGAACAATGGTTAAAATTTTTTAGAACAGATCCAAAACCCAGTTAACAGTCTAGACTAGTCTTTTTAAGTTATACAGTAGATCCTGTCCAGAGGAACATCTGATGAATCTGATCTACGCACAAAATCACATTCATTATCCAAGCAAGTCGAAAGTTTATTTACTGACCAGAAATGGACTTGTATTTCAACAAATAACCAACCACACAAAAATCTCACAACTCTGCCTTACCTTTCTTTAAAGACCTGCAGTCCTCGGACCAGCCCTTCCATGCAAAGAAGATCATAACGGTTTGCAGGAACATCAATTTTGTAGAGAACAACATCAGATGCACCCTTTGCCTTTTCTTCACCTTTTTCTTTACTTATAATGTCTTTCTCAGATGTCTGAAATTAAGCAAAAATGTGTTTTGAACATGAAATAACTTATCACTGATAGGAGTACGATAGTGATATAACATAAGAAAAAACTGCATTAATTAGAAGTTTAACAGAGTAATTTGGATTTATACAACAAATGGACACACCAAATTCGAGAAGTTACATACCATCTTTCTCAGACTAGGGGACTGTAAAGCAGTGTTAAAATTTCATTTTAAAAATAGAGATTTTAGAAGCAAGACTCTCCAGGCTGTCAGATCCCAGTACATAACTGAGACACTTTTGGCAATAGATCTTATGACTTCTTATTATTATAGATTTAATGACTTATTATAATCAAGTCTATTCTGAAATAAAGCATAACACATGATGTTTGGATGTGTTTTGATAAGTGTCACTAAAAGATGCATAACTTAAAATTAAAAATCAAAACCAAATCAGGTCTACTTGAAAAAGATTCACATGGATGCAGTTATCAAGCCTAGCAAATTTTCAGAAGAGCAGAATCTAAATCAAAACTTTAAATATGAGCTAATTACAACTTAGGTAACAATGTACAGGAAAAATACATTTATTGCGGATGTTGCAACAAATAAAAACATTACTTACAATTTCATCGAGCTCCAAACCAAACTCAAAGCAAAGCTCATCAAATTCTTCATCCGCTGTGAAGGAAGAGGGTGAACTTTGGTTAATAAGCAGATCTCAGACTTAATTTTTTTGTGCGTTTGTTTTGCATGTTTTCAAACAAGGTAACAAAGGATATTTTGAAAACAAATGGGTAGTAATAATTTAAAGGATTTTGCTTGTATTTGCATCGGAGTAGCAGCTTCTTAAGTATATGTACATTTACTGACATGGTATTCTTACAGTCACAGCAAGGGCTTCTGAGCGTTGGAGCTTAGCTCCTCAGCCAAGCTTGTCAGAGCCACTCTGGCCTGAACAGATAATGAAAACAGGACGGAATAATTGGGCAGCTTCTGCCAACTGCTCCTGTTGTAAGTCAGGTTGTTATACAGAGGTTGTTATATAGAGGTTGCATCAACTGCGTCGAAGCGTGTCAGTAACACAGCCCTGATCTGGCCATGGAGATCTGTCCGAAGAGCCACAGCCCCTCTGTGGCCCCGAACCACGATTCTAAAGAGCCGGGAAAGGAGAACTGAATAAAACCACGGTGTCCACCGCTTGCCGTGCCTGCTCCCACCTCCTCCCTCTCCTTTTTGATCTAACCAGTCTCTAAAACAGAAACTCCCAGCCAGAAGCCGCGATTTGGAAGGGCCTGGTTCTGATTCCCCCGAGAGATCCGGGCTCGGACAGCGCCCGCGTGGGCCACGGGCTGAAGGGGCAGGGCCGGCCCGTGGCTGTGCCCGGCGTGCCGGTGGCTGCCGAGGGGCAGGCGGGTGGGCTCGGGTGGCACCCGCGATGAGCCACCGGGATCGCCCGTGGGGTCCGAGCTGTCCCACGCGGGACGCACCACGCGGAGGGCGCGGCCGTGCCCGCTCAGGGACTCGCCGGCCCGCGCCGATCGCAGCGCGGCAGCCGCGGTGCTGGGCCGGGGGATGTCGGGGCGCATCCCGGCGGCGCCGGCGGGTCCCGCGGATCCCGGGAACACTCACTGTAGGCCCTGCCCAGCGCCTGGAACAGCAGATCCCGCTTCACGCTCACGGTCGGCATGGCGGCCGCTCGCACCGCGCCTGCGCCGCCCGCCCGTCAGGCCCCGCCGCGCTGCCCGCAGCTCGCCCCCCGCGGCCCCCGGGGCGGGCACGGCGGGGACACGGCGGGGACACGGCGCGGACGGGCGGCCGTGGGGAGGGTTTGCCCTTGCCCTCCGCCCGGGGACGGGGAGGGAGGCGCGCCGGGCCCCGGCAGCGCGGCGGGCAGCTACGGCCGTGACATCAGCCCGGCGGAGGAGAGTCGCGATGGAGGCGGGAGGGGCAGGCGGGGAGCGGGGACACGGCCCGCTGGGGACGGGGTGTCCCGGTACTGCCGCTGTCCCTGTCCCCGTCCCCTAATGGCACCGCCACTCCCGGCGCTGTCCCTGTCCCCATTCCCATCTTGGACCGCCAGTCCCGGGCGCTGCCGCCGTCCCCGCGGGGAAGCGGGTTCAGCCGGGGCAGCTCTGTGCAAGTTTCGGGAGTGTGTTTTTTCACTCCTTTTTTTTTTGGGTTTTTTTTTTTTTTTTTTTTTTGGTTGGGGGGCTATCCCTGTGACGGACACCCCAGCAGCGGGAGGAGGCTGTGCGTGTGTTGGTTTAATTAGAAACGAAAGACTTGACCCCGATCGCGGCAGGAACCCTTTTAAGTTCTGGGTCGGTTCCATAAGCTCTTTAATGGTATAAGAGCCTTAAGCGCGTCCGGGAGCGCCGGCGCTCCGGGACGCTGCGAGAGGGAACGCTGGCCCGGAGCGTCAGGTGCAGTCACACCTGGCTCCGCGGGTGCGGAGACACACCTGGGTCCGCGGGTGCGGGGGGTGTGAACACACCTGGCTGCGCGGGTGCGGGGGGTGCGGACACAGCTGGCTCCGCGGGCGCGGGCTCGCCCCGATAAAGCCGCGGGTGCCTCCCCCCTGGTGCCGCTCAGGATCACGAGCAGTCGCAGTATCCCGGGCCGTGCGAGCCGTCTCTGAGGACGGGGGTGTAGCAGGACCAGCCCCCGCAGCCGCGCCCGGGCTCTGTCCCGCTCCAGGATCGTGTTCCCGACGATCGGGGCGGGCGGTGCCGCCTCCCCGTCCCCGCCCGCCGGGGCCCGGCCGTGGGCAGCGCCGGCGGCAGGAGGGGCGCGTCCTCCACCGGGGCCGCGGCGGAGCGGAGCGGAGCGGGCAGGTGCGGCGGGCTGGGGCTGAGCCTGAGCCTGGAGCCGGCAGGTCCGCGCCTCCCCGCGCTGCTGTCCGCCCGTCAGCATGAAGGTCGAGTTTGCCCCCATCAACATCCCCCTAAAGAGGAGGATCCAGACAGTCGCCGTGCTGCAGTGGATCTTCTCCTTCCTCCTGCTTGGTAACAGCCTTCCTCCTTCCTACACTTACCCCAGAGGGAAAAAGGCTAAGAATCGCTTTTTCCCGTGGCCAGCGTTACCTGTGTGCATCGCTCTGTGCCACCCCGTGGCTCCACGTGGGTGCAGAGGCGGCGGTTGGAGGCGAGCAGCAAGCCGGCGATTCCCGGGCGGGCAAGAGCGTCGCACTCCTTTCTTCTCTTAAAGCTCTGGATGGCTCTTCCTTTTTTTTTTTTTTTGGTTTTTTTTTGGGTCTATTTCTTTCTATGGGTTCTTTTTCAAATATAATCCTAAAAAGCTAGTGACTGTGTCTTCACGTTGAGGCGCCGTCTAGGCTTCTGACAGCAACTTTTTACTGAACATGAGCGTTAAGTCTGGTACATGAGTAATGCTGTTTTCATTAGTCATTTTGTAAAATAACTTTATATGCTGTAGTTCAATAAAATTCTCGTTTAACTAGGTGATGAAAATTAATAGGATGTCAAGGAACTGGCTCAAACGCAGCCGTTTCTGTAAACATATGAAAAATGTCCTCACTTGCTTTAAGAAAGTGTTCATAACAATTCTACTTGATAAACTTTTTCCACTGATTGTTCCTCTATAACTAATGTTTCTAATATCTTAATAGACACCTCTCACTAAACACCTATTCACAGCAGCAAATCTTATTCACGTGGGTAGTTATCTTGAACTCGATGGAATGGGTCACTTGATAAGGTAAGAGAAGCCTTAACTCTCTCAGAGTAAAGCCATGGATTTTGTAAACTGGAAAGTGATTATCGAATAATCTGTTCCGAGGTACAGAGCAACTGACTATCTGTGCCTTACTGGAAATGTTGGAACGCTTCACGATCGTCTATGCCTTAGGATTTACAAGGAGAAAAGGAATCTGTGCATGTCTTCCTTGTTTTACAAATATATTATCCTTCAGATGGTGTGATGTCTTTCAGGTGATTTCTTTATTTAGGCTGTTAGCCCACACATGAAAGATTTGTGTATGTGGGAGAAGCATGGAGGATATGAAGCATCTTCATAGATTTATTTATCCTTAGCATCTGGCTCTTTTGTTACCTCTAAATTATATGTAGTTGGAGTATGAACTGTTTGTATTTTTGTTTGCACGGTAAATAGTCTGTACTTCTAATTTTCTGTTATTGAATTAGATCTTGGCATCTGCCCTTTTTCCAGTCTCATAATGCAGGGGAAGTTCAGTGGCAGTGGAAGAAAGCAATTTTTTTATCCTAGCAATGCTCCTGCACAAAAACACATCCTTTTGAGCTTACTAGAAGTGATTGGGATGCAGAAAATCCATTCTTGCTGTAGTTCAGCAGGAGAAGTAGGCAGCTGTCATCTGCAGCTGGTGCTGTCTGGGAATAAATGTCAAGGAAAATCAGCCAGGAAGGTTTTCTTATGGCTGGTTATGTTGGGTGTAGTGAGTACATGTGGCCATGAAAAAATCTTTTCGCAAGAATGTTTGAATTTTGGTGAACAAATTGGTTTTAATAATGATTATCTGCTTGTGCTTCATGGGGATGTTTATCTTTAGAGCTATCCAAGGTGACCTTTTAATTCCATAGGCGTAAGCTTTCAGTCGTGGGGCAGTCATAGTGATCTGGCCAAAAAGTTTCATTTAGCTGCAGGAAAATTCAGGTGGCTGAATCCTAAGTGACTTAAAGCAGTGAAAAAAGGGCTGGTTTCTGAAGTTCTGGATTGTTTCTATGTCTGGATTTTTTGCGTTTGTGCTCCTTCCCCTGCTGTGCAGATAAAATAGGGAAACACCTGTTTGTGAGCTCTTAAAAAAGGGACACTTTCAAATCATGGAGGGGATGTCCCAGTACAGCTGAAATACTGAAATACTGTGTGAGTTGATTGCAGGAGACATTTGAGATTTGTTTGGGGGTTTGTAAGTGGCCGCAACTAGTTTATGGCAAGCAAGATCTTATGTAGATCAATCTGTCTTGTGTTAAATATCTACATGTGAAAACATGAACAGATAATGCCCCATGATAACTAATGATTCATATTATAGATAGAGGTATTATGTTTAGAGCAGTGAATAACCCGGCTACTGGCCTAGCTCCTGAAGTCTAGGTATGTGGTGACATGCCATAACTTAGTAAAAGAAATTATAGGACTAACAGATAAAGTAAGATAACACTAGAAATTAGTGCCCTGAATCACAAAAGCTCAATTGGTTGATGATACCTTTTAAATCTGAGTGACATGAGAAAATGGGATTTGGCACACTGAATAGGCTGTGAGGGGAATGTGAGCCTATTAAAACTTGGAATTTGTAATGTGACTTGGATAGAAGACTCAGAAAATTAGGCATTGGTTTTATCTTCCTGGCTGAGAAATGTAAAAATCCCTTTCTCTTCAGGCTTGCTTTCTTGTAATGCTGGATGGTTTTCTGAGATTGTGGAATTGATGACTAAAAACGCCCTCTTGCTTGGGTGGCTAAAGGCTGTAGAAAGAGCGAATCAGTAAAAAAATACTGAAAAAACAGCTGCAGCAGAAAGGTACAAGCAAAGTTCTGCTTCTTCATGCAGCATACAAACTTAGGCTGGGTCTGCACTACAGATACATTGCTTCTGCTGTACAGCGTAGGCAGAGTAAACATGCCTCTGCCTCAAAAAAAAGCTGTACAGATGTGCACAGAATTTCATTACACACAAAAGGAGCCTCTTTAAAATTCTGGCTGTAAGTTCTTGTGCTTCCTTGTTCTGTGCTGCAAGCTGCCAAAGTTCACCCTCAAAGGGGAAAGACAAGTTTTCACTGTAACAGTGATTTGTCTGTTTGTTATCCAAGGGCATGACACCAGAAGCAAAAATAAGTTCTGAAATACTGGATTAGATGAGAGAAATGCCCATTAACAGATTCCCACCGTATGCTGGTGGAAACTGCAGTATGCTTTCCTGTCTTATGTTCTCCAAGTGCAGCAGGCCAAAAAAGTTTAGTTATGAAGTTCCATGAAAAGGTGTTTTAAATGGGCTTCCCTCTTTTGAAAGAAAAGTGTTATTCGTCTGGAGTCCAGAAAACTAAACCTATGAAAACTCAAAATGAGGAAATAGGCTGAAACGATACTGTTACTTGCAGTATTGGGCAGGTATCCAAAAGAGCTTCAGGCTGAAGGATAATGCCAAACCATTAGTGTTATACTGCTGAAACAGCAAATATATGAAGTTTTGCAGTTTCCTAGTACCTACTTTGGAAAAAAGCTGAAACAAACCATTCTGATTGGTAGTTTTTACGGCTGTAATTACTGTTGTTAGAGATTCATCGTCTTGGCTGGGGACTGACAGTCCTGGGGCTGGTCTGTCCCCCTTCCAAGCTCATGCAGCACCTACATCACGTCTCGCTGTGAAGCTGCCTGCTGTTGATCACTCTGTGCCATCGTCCAGCCCAACCCCAGGCAGAAAGTCACCTGGAGAAATGAAATCTCCAAGCCTGTAAGTGCTGCTGGACCAACAAAGCAAAGAAGTTGCATCACTTACGTTTTTGTACTGTAGGTTTCATGGTACACACACACAAAAGGAATTGTCGCTGTCAATGAATACAGTGGATGTCCCTGGTGTTTAACACTGAATCTTTGTTTTTAAGCTTGGAAGTATTTTTCTCGAGAACTTCGAATTAATTTTATGTGTTTACCTCTATATCTGGATATCCTTCTGTTAGGAACAGGTTTTCTGTTTCTTGCACAGTAACTGGGCAGTGATTTATCCTTGGTGTGTGAGCTGTGTGCCTCAGGACTGCACATCTGTCAGGGAGGTTCAGTTTGTATCAGGAGGTGAGCAGTATCCAGGCAGGAGGTGGACCAAAGGGTTCATTTAAAGACAAAACCGTTTAAACAAAACCCCAAACCAACAACAAAAAACCGAAACCAAAATAAAAACCCCCAAACAAATGAAAACCTAAACAAACAAAAACTACAAACCAATCAGATTTGGTTAAAGTGCTGCTTGGCAGATGCTTTTTAGCCTTTTGTTTTTCTTTCTTATGTGCACAAATCAAATCACAGCATTTTGGAGAAAATAAAGCTAGAAGGTGGGTTGGTGAGCTTCTCTCCTGCTAACTTCTATGTATGCAACTGATGTGAAAAGGGACAGTGGAGTTTGAGCCTGTACAAAATCAAATGCATAACTAGGTAACTTGTGTGGAGTGGTGATGTCTTGGATCAGATGATGATGAGAGGAAAATGAGAGTTTAACCTTGTGACAGGGGTACCAGTGTTTTGCTCTGAGACAAGGTGGTGGTAGGGGAGAATGATGCATCTTCTAAGGCTCACTTTTGAGGTCCAGCTGATCTTCTTCTCACTGGGGATTTAGGAAGTGACTGTTGTGCAGGCACGCCTGTGTTTACTAGCAAAATACATACAAAATCAGTATGTAATATAAGGTACACTTTAATCTGCATGAAGCCACAAAATAGTATGCTGAAGACATTGTTATATATTAGAGTACATCCTGTTTTCTAGTGATTAAACTTCTGTGCATGTAGGATGAAACAGGCTGTTAATTGAACCTGCTGGAGACAGTTTAGGGCTGTGGATGGCTTCCCCAAAAGAACAGGAATGATGAAACATTTGCCACAGGGTGAGATATTGCTGCTGAAATAACAAGTGATTTCTGTGTTGAGAAAGTAGGTAGCGTGCTAAAGCAAATAATAACTTTTTCCCCAAACGTGCCTTGGTTGTTTGTTATCTGGTGTTGATTTAATTGATCAGCAATAGCTGGCTAATACGGTCATGTTCTTCCTCAAATCCTTTTTTAAAAAAAAACTCTTAATAATTAAGAAAATTCAGCTAAGCTCCATGAGCCTATCCTTGCAAGCTGGCTGGTATTGCTACATGTTTGTGTCAGTCTGTAATCATCTATCCATAAAATTTATTGCTGGCCCATGGGTAGGGACAGGAGTGTGATCATAGCGAATAACAGGGTACTTACTGATGCCTGACTGACTAGTATTTCTAGGAATACTGCTTCTGTTACCTTCGTTTTAGGGAGGG